AATGTATATTGTTTATTTACTGTAGTAAATTCTAGTAGTTTAGAGATTTTGATATTTTTTTGTAAAATTTAAAAGAATAATTAAATAAATATTACTACACCCAAAAGTTTGTTTTTTCAATGTACTTACTGGGTTTGAACCAGGTCTACACGGTCTTTATTGGGTTGTATGTAGCAGGCTGTTTTATGGAGAAACTTGATTTAAGTGTTTTTGTGAATAGTTCATGTCATTCTTAGTTGGCCTGAATACCAAAACAACCAAAACATGCATGTTGGGTTTATTATTGACTCTATTGTCCCTGTGAGAGTGTGAATGGTTGATTGTCTTATTTGTCTCTGTAAYGGACTTGCGACTTGTCCAGGGTGTCCCCCATCACTCACACAGACTGCTTGAGATAAACCAGCTGCCTGTGATTCTGAAAGGAAAAAGCTGGTAAAAAAATAATAATAATGAATGGATGGTCAAAACTGGAGTAAAAATTAGTGCAAAAAATTACAAGGAAGTTAAAGACTTCTACACATTACTGTAAACTTTAACATTAGTTTAATTGCTACAGTCACATAACACATCATTGTGTAACAAAAAGATCCAAAAACTTCYCTTCATATTAAGGCCACTGTTTTCAGGTTTGTGGCTTCAGACACTCATTCAGTTCCCTTTAGACTGAACTTTCCCTGCAGACAATAAACTCGGCACATCCTCCTCACACAGCTCATCTGACTCAGCCGCTCTACGTTCTCCCTTCCTTTTTTTTTCTGTTTCTCATCACTGAGTCGACTCCCCACCCAGTTTCTCCATGACTTTTTTATGGCTCCTTCTCCACGTTTGGCTCCTGTTTCCTGCAGCTCTGACTGTCCCCTCTCTGCTCTTCCTTTGCTTTCTGTCGGGCTGTCTCTGCCTCTTCAGGGCAGAAGTGTCTTCGCCACTCGACCAAAGCGTTGGACACTCAGGTGCTGATCAGTCCGTCTCAGGAGTCAGCTCATTCAGAGGTGAGGTCAGACGGCTGACTGTAAACTGAAATAAATAAATAAATAAATAAATAAATAATCTGGCATTTTGATTTCTAAAATAAGAATATAATCAAATTGCTCTGCTGTGGTGGCCATTTATTGCCCTTTCATCTGCAGTGATAGGTAATAAATGTGAATAAACAACATCTACATTTTGTGCTTTTCTCTACTTTATTTCCAGAGATTGTTTTATGTTTGTTCGACCAATCAAACAAGCTTTTMTATTTCTTAGCTTAAGAAGTGTTCAACTTTTGCCTTGTTTCCCTTCTTTTTTGAATCTTTTCAGCCTAACCATTATTTTCCATGAGCGACACTGAAAGTAACAGACTTCTCCACCTCTGCTCCACTGCCAGGTGTTTGCCCTGCTCTCCCAGGAATCGTCTCATAAGCTGTTAATCTTGGCCGGCCTGAGTGTGGAGGACAGCGGAGACCTGCTGTTTAACAAGGGACTGTTTTCACCAGAACATCTGAGACAAATAATATCAAAGCAGGTACAATGTTTCAACCAGGCAAAAACATGCCTGAAATTCTTCTTCTTCTTTTGCATGAGTTTGGAAAATAATTTTTTAGCAAAWGCATATAAAGCTTGTAGATCTGAAGGCATGACTAACAAATGAAAAATACAACTTATAAACAAGGAAAAAGACCTCCAGCTAACTGAGTATAGCAATCAAATATGGTAAAAGGTGAGGTGAAGCCTCTCAATTTGAACCTCTGTTAAATTGAGCTGAGTTTTACCAATTTCTATGTTTGCTAAGTGTGATTAGCTGTCAGGTCTCGAGATTACTTTTTGGGAGTTATATTCAAATCCATCCAGTCAGACAAACAAGTATGTGGAGACTAAGACATGAGTGCCCACTTTCAATTTTTGGTGACCGGAAATATTCATAAAAATTGGGAAGAACTCATTTGTTCTTKTACGTGCATGCATACTGAAAAACATCTCTTTTATTTTCAGTTTGAAGATAACGAGAGCTCTGCCTCCTGCCTTCCCCTCACTAAAACCCATCTGACCCTCAGCTGTCCCAACACCGGACAGTGGAGGAAGACTCTCTTAGAAAACTCGCCCCTGCAGGGTCCTTTCACCCTTCAAATCAACCCTCCAGAGGTGCTCCCCACCATGCAGTCTCTGGGGGAATTTACATCCCTCATTTCTGGGACRATTTGCCCTGCGTCCCCCTTTGACCTCCTGCCGCCTCCAACCACTGTGGGTTTCCTCAAACTGTCCCGGCCCTGTTGTTACGTGTTCCCTGCCGGCCGCGGCGACTGCGCTTTCTTCGCCATCAAYGGTTTCACGGTGCTAGTGGACGGTGGCTCAGACTCTCAGGCCTGTTTCTGGAAGCTGGTTCGCCATCTTGACAGAGTGGATGCGGTTCTGTTGACGCACATCAGCACAGACAACCTGCCTGGTGTCATATCCTTCTTGGAGAGGAAGGTCGCTGAGAAGGAACTGAGTTCTGATATAAAAGGTATGATAACTTTCTCACATTGAAAGAAATAAAGAACAAACGGTGTCATTTGTTTTAATGTCCTCATTTCTGTTTGCACAGATGACTTGTCTAAGAAGCTTATCTCTCCAGAGCTTGGAGTTGTATTCTTAAATGCACCGAGCAGATTGCAAGAACATCAGCCTTCTTGTGAGTTGTACAAAAAGTTATTTTTTTACAGTCTTAGTTTAAAAGTTTGAAGTGCTTAATATGTTCAGTGTTKTATAAAGTACCACAAAGTGATATTTGAGTAAAAGTACAAGTACCTTACCAAAAAATTACTTTGGTAAAAGTTAATGTCTGCTTTAGGAATAATACTTGAGTAAAAGTCTTAAAGTTTCTGATAWTTTTTGTACTGAAAGTTTTTGTATTAAAGGGAAAAGTATTGATTTAAAATGAGCAGTTAGATTTTCTGTAATGACATTTATTAGAAGGTGGCCTCCCAAAAAAATGCAGAAATGACTGTATCGTATTAACATAATTCATTTTTGTTTAATTTAGGATGCACGGGTGCCCAAACCTTTTCTCCAAAATRAAAATCTATCTGAGGGCTGCGAGCCAAATGCAATAATATAATTCATGAATTATAAATACTTCTTAAGTACAGTCCTTTTATTTTAATGATTATGTCCTGCTGGAGTGTGACATGATTTGTTTGTGTACAAACTAATACGGTATCAGAATTTTATGTATTTATACTTCTCATTCAACCACAGTTAAATTCACTCTGTCTAGGAGGCACAATTTATATGGATAGTATTTATTTTTTTACAATAAGTAGCTGGGATGAAAACAAGAAAAAATGAAATAAAAGTAACAACTTTCTTCTTCTTGCCTTTTTTTTTTTAAAAATGTAAGGAGTAGAAAGTGCAGATAATTGTGTGAAAATGTATGAAGTAGAAGTAAAAAGTAGGCTGAAAAATAGTTACTCAAGTAAAGTACAGATACCCAAAAATTCTACTTAAGTACAGTAACAAAGTATTTGTACTTAGTTACTTTACAATTCTGACTATGTTACACAATGCACAAAACACCCGACCCTGACCTGGCTCAGTTCTGGCCCACACAATGAACTAACAGTCAGYTGAAAGAATGACAGTCCTTGGGTGGCCCAGATGCAGCTTCCCAATTGGGGCATGCGTGGCTAGCACCAGGTCAGCTGCAGATACATAGGTGGCCTGGTGCTAGYCCAAAATAGATTTTAGCAATGGCACTAGATGTCAGCCTTTGTGTTTRTTTGCAAATCAATGCATCCTATTTTTATTAAGATTTTACACAACATCCCAAAYTTTTGGGGAGTAWTGGTTGTAGATTCATAACYGTAKAAATYAAAGTAATTTGGGTTATTGTTGTTTATAAGGTGAAGACAATGTTCTGAGGACCAAAGAGCAGGCAGCTGTAACCCTACAGCTCCTAAAGAAGTTAGACATTAAGCCGCATCCAATGTTTCGACCACAAGGAGTACCTATTAAACCGCTAACCCTGTTCCAAAAGATGGGAGTGGGACAGCTGGATTTATACATCCTCAGTCCAGGGAAAACCAGTCAGGAGTACGAGGCATTCATGCAAAACTGGCCTGATAAAACCATATCAGTGTCCAAATCCCAAAGTCTCCCTCTTGCYACCCTGGCCTCAGTCTCTGCCCTGCTCGTATGGCATCCAGCGTGTCCTCAAGAGAAGGTGGTCAGGGTGCTGTTCCCTGGCGTAACGCCACAGGCAAAGCTGCTCCAGGGGCTGGAGAAGCTCAAGGGGTTGGACTTCCTTCAGAAACCAACAGTGACTACTGGAGACCTTGAAAGACTGGGGGAGGACAGAAAGGTCAAGAGGACAGATAGCCTGGACAGTGGAAGGTCGCAAGGGAAGGAGGGATCACCCAAGTATGTGAAAGAACGAGGAGTTAARGAAGAGGGAAAAGAAAAGGGAAAGACTTTAATTGGAGTTGGTGGAAGAGACATGGACAAAGCCAAAGTCAAGGARACAAGCTTAAAACATAAATCGTCATTTTCAGAAAAGAATAGYTCAAAGAAAGGAGTTGGGAAGTTTGGAAAAAAAGAAGAGAAGACTGGTGATAAAGAGGAGAACAGCAGTAAAAGGAACGAACAGATGAAAAGGAACAGTGTCTCTTCAAAAGCAAAGAGTGAAAATAAAACAAAACCCAAAAAGGATGCAAAAAACGATTCCAAAATGGGAGAGAAGAAATCACAAAAAGTACCAGGAAATGAGGCAAACAACAGCAAGAAGGTCCACGGAAACACAGAACTGCMAAACAACAAGTCAATGAAGCAAAAAACTGTAGAGTCAGAAAMTCTCTGTAAGGAGAAAGAGAATCAAACAAGGGAGCCAGAGAACCACCACGGCTCCAAAATGTCTACCCCTGAGGACATGACAGAGGATTTTCTCAGGCTCCGACAGGAAAGTGAACAGGAACCAGGGCAGGTGGAAACAGCTGATAAAGAAAAACAAAAACGCAGTGAGTTRGGAAATATAAAGAGACTTGAAGATTTGAGTGAAGAGTCGTGCAATAAAACTGCTGACAGATCAGAAGAGGAAGCAGCAGGTGGTTCAGGGCTAATGGAAGTGGAAAGTATCAGCTCAATGCAACACATACCTGGGGCTGATAAGAAWGCAGAAACAGACCCCAAGAAAAACCTTCCAGATGAGCCTATTAAATCAAGCAGACCTGTGAAAGTTGTAGGATTTCCATCTCCTTTGAAYAAGACTTCAAAGATGGAATGTAMAGTCCAGTTAGACRTAACGCCAACTGAGTACACACTTCTGGATGGGGCTTTGAGGAACACCTCTCCCTCGCAGGCCTCGCCAGAGAACCAGGCCCCTAACAGCCCAGATGAGGAGACCGTGGAACCTGTTTCTCCTGACTCACGTCCCAACAGCGCAGGCCACACGCCCTACTGTCTTTCCCCAGATGACGTGTGGTGCAACAGGACCGCTCTCAGCAGACTACAGGCACAGGATAATCCTGATTCAGTGGATGCCTACGATCCCGATGGGTCATCCAGACAGAGCGATGAGTCCAAAGGTGTTTCTGAAAACTGCACAAACTCTAAAGAGAAACACCTCAGTTTTCTTTCTTTGGGTGCGTTTAAAGACGGATCTTCAGAGCCCTCTCCTTCTGTGACCACCACMACTACGCATTCGTTACCAGCCGAGGTGAGCTCGCCTCAGTCCACAGAAGTAGATGAATCCCTGTCCATGTCCTTTGAGCAGGGACCCACCACTGTGAGCCAGAGAGAAGGAGACAACAGTGTTTACCAGTCTCACTCAAATGGCGGTTATTTTGTGGGAATGCCTTTATCGGTGAAGAAACCACCCAGATCTTTGGGTCAGAGTTCAGACATGGGGAGACCGTTTGCGCCAAACACGCTGCATTTCGAGGCRTCAGCTCACGACGTGGACCTGTGCTTGGTTTCTCCATGCGAGTTCAAGCATTTCAAGCAGCCTGACTCGAGTTCAGGCACCAGTGATTCCTCCAAAGGAGCCTTTGCCTCAAACCACTACGGCAACAACAACAACCCCAAGGACCGGTCKCCCAGCGAGTCAAATGCCCCCGCCTGCACCGAGGACTGCCCATCCACCACAGCTGATGGAGTCCTGGACTCAGACTCGGATGAGTCATGCAGTGACCCATCMAACTCCCCGTGTGACCGCGACAGCAGTCAGGCCTTGCCCCCCGACCCTCTTCCAGCCCCCCTCAGAGACAGTCCTCCCCTTCCGCCCCACCCTGACACCTCCATGCCAGTTCCTCAGTCAGACTCTGAAGCTCATGGGAAAAGAGGAAAAGCCACTGGAAGCAGAGTCAAAAATATGTCACCTGTGAGTATGTTTGTGTATCAGTACTGTGTAACTGTGTAACAGTGTTTTTTACTATAATCTTTGCAGTCAAAATTGACTGATTATTCCCAATATCATGTCAGACGCTCATTAAAATGATTGGCAGCACTGGACCTGAACCCAAATTAACTTTAGTTTTACCACCAGGYTATTGACAGCAGCCCATTGAAATCAGGCTCTGTGAAAAACCGGACCGGGAGCCAGACTGGAGTCATCAAGGGGAATCTTACTCGTACGCCTTCCTCCAGCACTCGCTCAGCACCAGCAAAATCCACACCAGGTCCAGGTAAGTGAAAAAGGCCTTCCTTTCATCTTTTTCCACTGTGCCTCACCTGCTGCCTGTTCAAGTGTCAATTCTGTCCCTGATGTATCTGCTTTGGGCTCTAAAGCTACCTCTGCCAGTGAAGTTGGTGTGTATGTGGACCTGGCCTATATTCCCTCTGGATCCTCGTCTCCCACAGTCACTGTGGACTTCTTCAGGTGTATTCGCTCCTCTTGCTACATCATCAGTGGCAACAGTCCAGAGCGGGAGGAGCTGATGAGGCAAACTCTGGATGCTCTGCTGGATGGCAAAACATCCTGGCCGGAGACTATGCAGGTAGGAATACTCACATTTATTGATTTATGCACAATATCGACAGCTTTCTTCAAATGGTAATGTGCTCAACATCACAATTTAACTCTGAACTTGGGAAGAATTAGTTCTTGTTCAGGCAGATAAAGAGTGACTATATGAGTGTTTAAAAGAACTTAAGAGAACTTGTTTCATTGGCTTTTTTTGCACTGCTCAAACATAAACTAAAACCACATTCTTTACACTTTGAAAATAAAAAAGGGGCTTGATACAAGAAAAGAAGTCAAACTGCAGGGTGACCGCCAATAATACAGGTAAAATAGAAAGAAAATAAAAATATTAAGTAGTCCTGGGAAGTGATAATTTCCCAGTTCCCATTGGTAGATTTAATCTGGAATGCCCACTCCAGTGGTAATATTCCACTCGTAAAGTGGAAGAAATGAAACTGCCCCCAGTTTCTATTTCAAGATGGTGACTACTAGTAGCTTTAGAAAGTTAACTCTGTAACTTTTACTGTTAATTATCTTGCTTAATTTTTTGTGCATGTTTAATCATTCACACAAGTAGTGTGTTTTTTGTGCAATGCTTTACTTATTAAAATCAATGTTTATTTGAATGACATACGTAGTAGAGCTTTCTGTTTTTCATTGTTTATAATGTAGCTGTGCTGTAGCTAGGTTAGCAGCAACAATAGATTCCATTCCAGTTAGCCTGTTGGCTAACTGGAATGCAGTTTCATATGGTTTGTTGGGAAACGACGACACTACCATTTACCAGTTCTGGGAATACGATATAAATGGAACGCAGCAAAAATAGCCAATTTTTAGATGGAACTAGAGTTGCAAGAAAATAAAGTAGCATATTGCCCACTGCCTTGCATGCCATAAACATTTTGTGCAATCAGTTAGCAATCAGATTATGGGCCTGATCTACATAGGTCCCAAAAAAAGAATGCTACATTGCATGTGCTATTAATGGACATGATGCAGGTGATCTACTAAAATTACATGCCTTGTTGAAATGAGGATTGTGCGTGTGCTACTGCTATCACCACAGAAACAGTCTCCAATAACTTTACACAAATATGAGAAAACAAATAAGTGCAATCAAAGACTGCGCAGTTCAGTGTTTAAAGATTTGCAGTGGTAGCACACATGCACACTACAGTATACTTCTGTTAATTTTATGAAGCTTTATAAGCTGTGTTATGTTCTGCGGCAGAGTGGGTTGGAGGAGTGAGGTGCAGTGCAGCCAGTTTGCACCTGCCTTCAAACGTGCTAAATATAAGATACAAAAACAACAACCATTAGTTTCAGGTTTGATAAATCACATTGTGGGTGCTAAATGATTGTATTTGCATCCTCCTCCCAGTATTTTACATTTTCTGATAATCACCATACAGTATATTCTGCATATTTATGAAGGCAGACACATTAACTAGATTGCGTTGGACCCATACTTGCTTAAAATCAGTTTTTACATGAAATATGTTGGAGATTTAAAAAATAGGCTCATTTTGGCAGTAACACTGTAATGTTATGTAAACTCATGAGTTTTAATAAATTACCAAGTCAGTTTCTGTGTTCAGGTGACAGTGATCCCCACCTTTGAGTCGGCATCGATGCAGGAGTGGTACCAGCAGACTCTGGACAGGCAGCGGGAGCTRAGCATCACTGTCCTGGGATCTAACAGCACGGTCGCTATGCAGGATGAGACCTTTCCTGCCTGTAAGATTGAATTCTGAGGCAGACTGACACATCATGCAACACTGAAAGAGACAGACGTTTTGGGGAACCACCCCGTTCTTTTCTGCATGTACACGACTGAGTAGATGAGAGGCGTTAAACACGTTGAGCTTCTTTTGTAGGTGTGGATCACACGTCTCTTTGGGGGAATATTGCATGCTTTTCTCACCAATGACCCTGTTCAATATGGAAGAGGAGCTAAAAGTGACTGCAGGGGAAGTGTGTCAGCCTGCAGCACATAGAGTCACATGAAAAATGATGCTGTAAATCATTAAAAATACCAGACAGTGTCAAAGACTGCAAGCTTGCATTAAAGTATGGTCAGAGTTCGTTGCCTCTGATTCAACATCTAACCATCAATATGAGAAGAATTGTAAAGATAAAAATCATTGTTTGCATTGCATATAATTTTTCAAATCGGACTCATTGGTAGCAATACACGATACAGTCCACTACTTACCCAGTATGTTCCCTGCAAGGAAGTATATAGTCTACACCCCATGAATACTTGGTACATACCCAACAAGCACTTAGTATGGACCTTGTTTACCTTTATAAGATACATTACAGTTACGTGCTTAGTGAGTATTCAGCACGTACCCTGTAGGTACCCAGCACTTATAAGTACACCGAAAGTACCTGCTACAAAGCCTACCTGGTAAGTGCCCTTTAAAAATGTATAAGTACCTAGTATGTACCCTGTAAATCCCTAGTAAGTAACTGGTAAGAACTGGGTACATCTTTGTAGGAGATTTTTAAACATTAGACATGGGTGTGGTTTAAAGTTTGTTTTTAAATCTCACAGCACAGAATCACTTTTTAAAACATTTTTAAAGTCAGTGTTTTAATTATTGATTCTGGTAACTGTCCTTGTACTGTGCTTTTGACACAGTGGACTGCAATATTTTAATTTCTGTTAGTCTTGAAAATCGTGTGTTCATGTGGAGTCCCACAGGGCTCAGTTTTAAGGCCTTTCCTTTTCTGCTTTTAGTCAGTCCCACTTGGGTCCATTTTTAAAGCATGAAATTAATTTTCATTGCTCTGTGGACAACTGTCAGGTTTTTGTTCCCCCCACAAAGAAAAAAGGCATTTCCCTCAAAACCACTAATAAAATGTCTTAAGGACCTTAACTTTTGGATGGTTCWGAACATTTTATATTTAAATGAGAAAAAGACAAAAGTTATGGTTCCTGGCTTCTCTGAGTTCACTGGGATCATATCAAGCATTTTTCATAATTGAGGCAGCTGGCGAACGTAAAGCCACTAATTTCAAGAAATCCCTTTGAGACAGTTATCCATCTTCACCACTTGGCAAGATTACTGCAGAGCACTTTAAATACAAGATCAGTCAGGTCCAGAATGCTGTCACGTCTTTTAATCGGCAAAAGTTTACACCCCTATGCACCCACCTGTTCTCTCAGATCAGCAGACTGGCTGATCAAAAGTGTGACCAAGTGTCCAAAAAACTAAATGTAGGCTTCTAGGGGATTTGCAGTGTCAAACAAACTGCTTTTAAAATAGATAGGCCAGTTGTAAGTTTACRTTTGAATCTTAAAAAACTTCCCTTTACATTGCCTCTTGTCACCATCTGAGATTTCAACTTTTTTTAGTTTAAAAGATTTTGTATTTTATATGTTTTTAGTCTTATCGTATGACATGGCATGGCATCAGGCACATACCTGGTAAGTATTTGGAAAGTACCTGGTTTGTACGCAAACCAGATGTGTTCTCTCTGGGTACTCCGGCTTCCTCCCACACACCAAAAACATGACTGTTAGGTTAATTGGTAACTCTAAATTGTCCCTAGGTGTGAGTGAGAGAGTGAATGGTTGTCCATATGTGTATCCCTGTGATGGACTTGCGACCTGTCCAGGGTGTACCCCGCCCCTCGCACTGTGACTGCTGGATATGGGCACCAGTGACCGCATGACCCTGAAAGGAAGAAGCTGGTATATATACTGGATGGATGGATGGTTTGTACCCAGTTGGTAATGAGCTGTATGATGTGTTGCTACCGGCTCATTTGATAAAAGCTGAATCTAACATGACATCTTTAAAGAATCCTCAGTTTGTGGTGAGACAGGCTGTATAGCTGCTTTTAAAGGTCTTGTGTCACTGTGGCCTTCATGTCAAGATTTTTACTCTGCMAACAGACTGACAGACATTTTCTGAMTTCCTGTCAGTCACCAGCAAGTGATAATGGCTTAATCTGAAGAATTACATTATTGTATTATACTCAACAGCTTTATGACAATAGTGTTACTGAGACTATTCCTGCAATTGTAATATAATAATAGTGCTTATAGTCTAACAAATCAGGAATCAGGCCTTTAAATGATTTTATGATTAAAAGGGCACTTTGTGTTTTTAAATATCTTTACAAGATTGTGACTTTGTATTAAATAAAAAAGTGTGTTTTTGCCCTGTGTTGCATCACACGAGTCACAGTGTTAACAGCTAGCTGTAAATAARAGCTGAAGAATCTGACTGTATTTATGTGGCAAAGTACTGTATATCTGAAACTAAAAGTGAAAGAACGGCTGGGATCAAAGGGTCAAAAGTATCATAAAACTTTACCATTCGTGTCAGCATTTGTCTTTTAACTTTGTTGTTGTTTGTTTGACCTTCTTGAATTACAGGTCTATTTCCCTGTGGAGATTTTGACTGGAAATAAAAGGGAAAGAGAAGAGAAAGCTCAGGTGTATTAATAAGAGCTGCATTCAGTTTCTGCATCTGCCAGCTGTTCTGCAAGAACATCTGAGCAGAACATTTGTAGAATGGGATGCAGCCCTCATTAATACACCTGAACCCCAAGTCAAAATGTCTGCTCTGATTGGGAACATAAAAAACAATAAATTTAACATATATTTGTTGGCTTGACCTGAACATGCACACTAACATTTATTGGTTTAAGAATTAATTTTAAAAAATACTGCTGACTTTAATTTCTTTGTTATTTACTCTAAATAACATTGTGTTATCTTTATTCACTGTATTGGACTACATTTTAACATCTCTCCAAGCATCAACCCATGTGTTTTTTCATTTTAATTGTTAAATTCCTAACTGGATATCCATGATGTCATGGTGAGATATGTGAATATATTATTTTCTGTTTTTTCTCTGTTTTAAACAATATGCATGTGATACATGGGTTTTTAAATACCAAAGCATGTTGAATCACAGCTCATTTTCCTCTGAGCCTGAATGAATGTTGCTTCCACAATCACAGAAACATCATTGAAAAAAATCCTTCTAGATTTGCACAATTCTTGAGAGAAGTAGTTTAAATTTATGCAATCATTTATTTGTTTTCCTGACTGTAGATGACATCACTCAGAAACCTAATATTTCAATTCTGCCACTTTTTTCCTGTAATCATAGAAAATAACTACTTGAACTCCACCACCAGGCTGTAGAATTGTTAAAGTATGTGTCCTGCATTTTTTAAAATTAAAAAACATGTTTTGTATGTTGTTACATTCATGATATTCATGAAAAAAGGGAGTGAGGCACTGTGGGAAAACATGAACAGAGTGGTGGCAGTCAGGTGAAAAGATTTTAACTTTTATTGTCTGTTAATTAGTAGAGAAATGTCAAACTGCTGTGTGTTCGAGCAAAATGCAGGAATAAAGAATGTGCATCACAATATAAACATGTCGAGACGAGAGTATCTTGTATGGTAAAGTTACCAATTGATGTTGAATTAAAACACAAGTGTTGCATTAATTTGACTTTGTTTTCTTTTTTTATGTTTTATTATTTTATTAGGACACATCGGGACATTTAGATTTGCGGATAAATTGGAAAAAACAACAACACAGGATCATCAATTCATTCATTAGAGATGATTCCAGGTTTTCTTGTTTGAAGAGTTTGAAACCTCCAGTAAACACTGAGCTAGATAATATTTTAGACACTTTTAGAATGTGAAAGTGTGGTAAAGACAAATATTGAAAAAAGTATGTAGAGCAAATTCCTTCAGTCTTTGTTTTGAACACATGCTGTCGAGTTTACTTAAAAAATACATTTTTTTCCAACTTAAAACTGTTAACATGTACAAGTGTGACATTTTCAGATTGCACAACTCAACTAACTTGATAATTTTAARTAAGTTGTGAACACAAAAAATGGTACACATTTATTCCGTACCTGTAACTTAAAGAAAATAGGTTGGGTTTACACAGTTTACTCAGAAGAACAGCTTTTTAAAATGTGAAACATAAAAAAACAGTTACATTGCACAATTTAAGTAATGCATACTTAACTTAATAAATATAGTTAAGTTACATGCAGCTGTACAAATTGTACAGTATGCAAATGGGCTGTATGGTCCAAATATTGAGCATGGCTGCATCAACATCATTGAAGAACTCTCTTAATAAATGAAGAAGTTTGCAGTTCACAAGGAGAGACTGAAGCCTCGCTTATTTTCCAACACGCAGAGATGAAGACTGCACACAAAAAATCCCTTAACAGGATATGGGCCCAGGTAGAAAATAAGTGACAGTTTGCATTCAGCTTTACTTTTATTATATATTATTGTATATTTTATATGTGCCTCCTGACACAGGTTTGAAGAAGGCATAGTTAATGCTGAAACATTAGCAGCCATTTCCTCATTAAAAGCAACAATGTTTACCACTGTGTCCAGTGCTTCTGGTTTAGGAAACAGTTGATTTTTGCTGTGCCTTTAAAAAAAATGAAATAAAAAATATTTTAAAATTTTTATATACGTTTTTTTGATAAAAATCTGAGGAGCCACTTAGGGAGCCAAAAGAAAGTAATTTGAGCATGCCCAGAATGTTAAGCGTTAACCCCTTACAATCCAAAACAACCCTACTTTAAAATACATAACTTTTTTTGCATGAACTCAACTTATGTAGAACTTATCAAACCTTTTTTTCTTATTCAAAATTTCAAATCACTTAAGTGACATGAGTACAAACAAGCTGATGAAAATTAAGTTATGTTCACTTTAAATATTTTATTAAGCAGAATGTTGTGCTTCACAGTGCTGTAAATCTGACATCACAACCTAAGTTTGCTGTGTCATCCACAGGTAACATCTGTTCTCAGTCATGTCTGTGGTCACATCCAAACTGTCCAAAGATYAGGAGAAAAAGCTGCTGTCTCTCTTCGATCATGTCTGATCTACAAAGCCAGTGTCCATGGCTTCTCAGGAGATGGCTCGCTGTAACAGACAGGGCCCCACTGTCTGTGTCGCTTACAACGCTGCTGGGTTTGTCTTTGGGGGCTACGTCACCAAGGACTATGTAAATTATTATCAGAGTAACTGTGATGAGAATAATTAGTAATTTATAAGCCTTAAATTTAGTCAGAAGCTCTATCTCCAAAAATGAAAGATTTGTGTCCTGCAGCATCTTCACCAACGACTTGCACAATACTGTGTCATAAAATGGCTCAATGAAAAGGCACAAAGCAGACAGGTCACAGGTCATTCAGTAGAAACACTAAGTTTGCTATGAAAACATTATTGGAGTTGAACAAATTCAAATGTGTAAATTAATGCCATGATACAGACCCAATGTATTTGCTCTTAACTGAAAGGTTTCAAACTTTCTTGTAAAATCATAGATGAGATTTTCCTTAAATTTCTAAAGCTATAAATCTGCTTTTTGAGCTTGTTTTGGCTTTTTTTGTTACCACAGTTGAGAGTAGAGATCATCAAGATACTAACTGAAAGGGCAGAAGTTCCAACTAACAGCTGAGTCCTTAATGACTGGGTCCTGGTAAGATCTAACATAATCAAACATTTGGATTATCTTGTGACTTATTCAGTTCATCTAGATGAGTAAGAGCAGACAGGAAGAATAAAACTCAAAATGAGCTGAAAGACTAAACGATAGTTAAAATCATGCTAAAAATAAAATTCTGACAAGTTGCAAAATCATATTTTTGCAAATAATATAACATTGCACTTTCTATTACCGACCCCTTCCTTGTTAAAAGTCCAACTGTGCACTGACACTAACTTTTCACCTTATCCAACAATTTCTCTGATCTCTACYCACAATGCTGTGCGCACAGAAAACTACAAAACGGTCTATTGTGCTATGCTTGTTTTATTTCAGCCCATTTGCCAAACGTGAAGCTGATTCTTGCTGCCTTTGATGAAGCTCAATTTTTAAAAATATTTTCCTTGAACAGAATTTTATTTTTTTAGTTGTTTTAAAAGGTAAATGTTGGATTCAGTTGAAGCCCATTGTGAAGATCACACAACGTGTTGATTGAAAACTTGAGAATTCAGATTAGATTTTATTTCAAARCATGTTTAAACAACCTCAAATAAAAAATGTTAGAATGTTTTGGAAAATGTAAATAAAAACAGAATGAAATGATTTGCAAAATCAAATAAATTCACACTTTGTTCGCTTCTCTTTGGTTTACCAGACAAACTCCTCCATAAACTCCAAATTGTTCAAAACTCTGCTGCTCGAATTATCACCAGAACCCCGTCCATTTGTCATWTAACAYCAGTSCYGCAGCAACAACACTGGCTTTCCATGAAATATCGCATTCTTCTTACATTTAAGGCTGTTGATAACCTTGCTCGTCCATATATTTCTTCATTTCTCCATGCTTACATTCCTGCKTGTAATCTTAGATCTTCTACTTCTTCCCAACTCTTCCTTCTGCTCGCCTGACCACAACGGGGTCAAGCGCCTTTAGCTGCTCGGCCCCCCGCCTATGGAACTCTCTCCCTCTGGACCTTTGAAAATTCAGTTTCTATTACCACCTTCAAATACTAACTCAAAATCCGTTTAGGAAAGCAT